CACCGAGGCGAGCGCCCGGGTGCACCTCAATAACATTGATCTTAAGTGAAGTTTAAGAACTTTATGAAGTGTATTTCTTAACATCTACAATTTACCAAACCATTGGTTTGGTTCTCTAATGTTGAACAGTTTGTTTCAGTTTTTATTTTTTGACAAGAGGTTTGGTTCTTGTTTTCCAAAACATAAACCCGATTGGTTCCATGAAATTCTTAGAAACCGAACCAAACAAGACCAACCAACACCCCAAATTTCAACGCACCATGAATACTGTATATGGAGAAAATAATCCCAAGGGGGAAAAAGACATCGACACTAGTATAAGTTCAAGTGCTCCCATCCTTAACCTATGATATATTAGAGAACCCATTCACCTATAGGAAACCTGCCGTGAATTCCCTGTAATTTAGCAACTTCAATGCAACTGCCAACCAAAAATTAAACCATCCTCCCACCGGCCACATACAAAATGATAACAGAGAGACCAAGAAAATATACAACATAATTGGTACTTCTAACAACAAGAACATGGCATCCATATATTAAAAACCAATGCTTAACCACCTGATCCCTTCTCTAAGAGATGAGTTTCCAATGTCTTGTTTACTAAATGGTCCTGAAAGTTCTTCTGATACTCAGTCAAGCTTGCATAAATTATGATTTCCTTTTTCCGAGGGAGCATTATCTCAACATCAGATTTCATTCTCCGAAGTAGAAATGGCCGCAGGATTGCATGCAGTTTTGCTACCACCTGCAAGATTCAAGTGTCTGAACATGGCAAACTTATGCAACATACAGTGTTAGGAAAATAAACTACCAAAAGAATTAAAAACCTGGGCCTTTCTATTCTCTTGTGTTTCCTCTTTTTCTTCGGCATGACACTTTCCTGAAAGATCGAACCTGAAAACAAATAATCAGGAGCAAATCAATTTTGAATATGGTAACAATAATTATTTGACCCCTGCAACTGCAATCTCTATACTGAATTTATGCTACTACTTGACTTAAGTGATGTTGCTTATTTAACAAATTTCAGTACTTCAGTGGCCAAGATAAGATGATATCAAAACTCTGAAACTAACAGGAGGTCCCCATGCAGAATAATATAAACTCACCTCCATGTTCACAGATGAAAAACAACTCTGAAGATTATAAGCATCCATCTAAAGGAAAAAAAAAAAAAAAGGACACTCACCATGACTCAAATTCTTCATTGGATGAGAAAATATCTGGTAAAATAAAATTCAACAATGACCAAAGCTCTGCCAAATTATTCTGCAGTGGTGTCCCAGTTAGAAGCAGTTTATTTTCGACAGTTATGTGCTTCAACTCCTTCAGCAGTTTGCATTTTGAGTTTTTTAACCTATGCCCCTTCAAGAAAAATATGTTTTCAGGAACATGAAGTTTCACAAAATTCATGAACTGAATTTTATAAGAGAAAATTAAGTGTACGGTTTGAAATTTGGCTGACCTCATCAACTACAAGATATTTCCAGTTGTAATGCCTCAAAAATTTTCTTGCATCACTCATTGCAATCTCATAAGAAGTAACCACTATGGGGAACTTAGGCCCAATTGTTCTTGGCATGCACTTTCTTCGTATCTCTTCCCTTTGTTTTTTGTCACCATGATAAATAATACCACTCACTGTGGGCACAAATCTATATACAGAGACATACAAACAAAAATGGAGAAAGATAAGGCGTCTTACAAAAATTTTAAAAAAGCACTGAATAGTCCCAGAAGATTCCATTCAGACCACATTTATGAAAAAATGAACACAGGAAAGTACCTCGATATTTCATTAATCCAATTTGAAAGTGTGGAAAGGGGAGCAATTACTAAGTAAGGTCCATCCAGCCCCTTCCCTTTTAGATGTGCAAGGAAGCCAATGGTTTGAATTGTCTTTCCAAGCCCCATTTGATCTGCAAGGATTCCATTCAGCCCATTCTGCCATAATGAGATCAACCATTTGACACCTTTGAGTTGGTAGGACTTCAATTTGCCACCAGTCAATAGAGGTACAAGTTCTCTCTGCTCCTTTTCGATTCTTTCTTCTTCAGTCAAATTTACATCTTCATCTTGCTTGCCTTCTTTTGATCTAGTCAGCATAGCTGCAACAGCCCTTTTTGCCTTCCTCTAGAAACATTTTCATTCCAGGTTAGAATTTCTTTAACAAAATAATATCTAAGATTATAATCCACTAAAACACATCACATCAGGTTTTAAATTTCCAACATAAAAAGAATTTTTCCCTCAAAATGTTAGGACATGAAAAGCACAAAATGGTCACATTATTATAACGTGCAGCAGCTTTCCTCTTCGAACCACGTCCACTACTTCTCTCAACAGGTTTCTTCTCTTCCTCCACTCCATTCTAGCAAATGGTTGAAATAAAAATCTCAATTAGGGAAGAAAAGGCACGTTCTAACTTCAAAATGCATAAAATATACAGCATATACGCATACAAAGGTGATGTCATCCATTTTCTCCAGCAAAAACTCGGAGTACAATTGTGTTTGAGTGAGAAGTTCATCCAATTTGGTAAACTGAGTGTCATTAAGCTTTGGAGATTCTGTTGAATCCTCAAGTTTCTTGGCCTCCTCTTCCTTAACCCGGGCTTCCAGCAATTTCTGTTCCTCCTCTGCCATTTCTTTTGATATAAGACTGGAATCCCCATTTTTTGCTTCCAGAATTACCTGTTCCTCCACCTTGATCTCATTTTCCCCATTACATAAATCCTTCATGCAAAAAAGTAAAAAAAAAAAAAGGTCATGCAATAATTTGACCCAGCATTAAAAAAGAGATACCAATTCAATAAGAATAGGAAGCAGACAACTTGAAATATTCACTACTGACATGCATAACATGCAAACACAGCTCATGTGAACACGATGTAAAAGAATGCATAAGAAAACGAATACGAAAATGTGAAAACTATATACGAATCTCAAAGAGACTACAATGTTCCCATCTGTTTCCTCCAGCATTTTCAAGAAGTCAGAAGTGTATTTTGCCCCTTTTACAAAGAATTTCACAGCAAATGTTAATGTWAATCAGACAGTGATAATAGACAAACTTGTTAATCAGAGTGAGACCCAGGGAAAGCCTTCTTCCAGGAAAACAAGATAAATACTCTGTTTAAGCGCTGTAACTGAAAATAACTATAAGAAGTGAACCAAAAAAAAAAAAAAAAAGAGTAACGAAACTTAACTTACTCCATGGGGCTGTCTGGTAGCGTTTTGAAAAACGATTTACTAAACTAAAATTTAACACACTTAGATAATTGTTTCTACAAAGCTCTTTTTTCTCATTTATTTTCATGAATAACCTATTTTTAGAATAATAAATTGTTATTTCAAGGGCAGAATAATCTTTATTATTACAAACCATTTAAAAGTTCTTCTCCAGAGCAGTTTTTAAAAACAAAAACTTTTTTTTTCTTTTTCTTGCTTTCCAGCACTTCATTTCGCAGTATCAAAAGAATCAAGAGGCACCAAAATGAGTCAAAACCCAAAGCTAAAATTAAGATATCGAAAGAACCTCATCTTCCAGAACCGAAGTAGGGGACTCTGCGGAATTATCAGCTCTTGGTTTCTCCTCGACAGCCATTTTCACTTTCCAGCCCTAAAATAAGGAACAAAAAGCGATGAAATATTGGATTAAACCTAAAAACTGTGCAAAATCACTTTAGAAAATTAACAACCGAGTGATTTCCCGAAGAAGTAGTATACCGTGCGCAGAGTTGATTAATGTTTAGGTACTGAAATTCTTACCGTTCAAAAAATATTAACAAGAAATTCCGAAAGCAGAACAAACCAAATGCGCAATGGGAAACCGAAAAAAACTTGAGTTTTCTAGTTGAGATTCCCCAAGAAGTGAAGAACTTTACTGGGAAACGACCAGGGAAGACGGATCGTCGGGAAGTTTCGAAGGGAAGCTGCGCAATTTGTAATATTTGTTCTAAAAATAATTCTTTTTTCATTTTCTTTTTTTCCTTTCCTGGTTCGGGATTTGGGCGGGAAAAGAAGAGACATTTTGGCCCTGAAAATGCAATTAATTACAAACAAACCTTCCAGTGCTGTTCCTGTTGTCAAATTCAAATTTTAGATTAAATTACATATTTATGATCTAAAAGGTATCTGATAGATATTTAAACTTGTTTAGTTTTAAAAATTCATAGGTATGAAAATATAAGCTACATGCTACACTAACCAAAATGGTCATTTTTAGCTAGTAGAATGTTTTGGTTTTAGAAACAACATAAAAATGTCTCCCCAATTAATGTTATGTAATTAAGATTAACATAAATGATTATATTATTTCAGTTCAACATAATATTTATTCAACGAGCAACTAAATCAAGTGTGGCTATTAAAAAAGGACAAAAAAAACTAAATCGAATACGGTCAATTAGTGGAGGTGTTACTTTTCTTCGATGGGGACTACCTAGCATAATAATAAATTATATTTAAGTACCCTACGAGATAGGAGTGGGGGGAATTTTTCTCCATGACCTAAATGGGACGGGGACGGGATAGACGATATATATATATATATATTATGTGTGGGTGTGTGAATGTGAATTTTATAAGGTATTGTTGGTTTACAAAACATTGTGGTGATGTTTATATTTTGGGGTTTATTTGAATGGTGAAATTAATTTTTTTTTAAGAAATGAAATTTAATAATTTTATCTTTGGGAATGTACATTATGTGTGAGGATTTAACTATTTAAATGCAAATCTCATAGGTCAATATGAGCTTTTAACTTAATAGTAGTTGCCACTCGAAAAAATGCAAATCTCATGCAGAATTAATCCGTGTGGATAACATTAGTTAGTTAAAATGAAATGGTTGTGTGCTAAATTGCCCTACTTAAATTAAGAAAGAAGGAAAAAAACATATCATTAATGAGTCTGAATTCAAAAAACGAGTACCTCAGTTGAAAATCTAATAGTATGGTTGAAACAACATTCAATCCTCCTCGGAATCAAAGGCTATTTACAAATATCATCAACCAACCTAAATAAAATAAATAAATTTTAATAAAAAACCAAAGTTATTTTGGTTAAGGCCATGATTATGACCACATGATCGATCACATTTTAATCAACAACACAATGAAGCTCAGAAATTCAAACAATCCCAAACACTTTTTTTTTCTTCTCTCTTCTTCCTTTTTTTTCTTTTTTTCTTTTATAAAAAAAAACAAAATAAAATCTCAACTCAATCATATAATTTTTTTTTCTTTTTCTCAAGGAAAAATAAACTGGGGGGAGGGGGGCAGAGGTGTCTTTGTGGAGGAAAGTAAATTTGGCTCAAAAGAATTGTTGTTGCTGCCTTTGGTTCCCAGGATGGTTCATCTCCCTAGAATCGTTACTAGAAGTCGCGAGTTCGCCGCTATCGTCTGGGTTCGACAAAGCTAACTTCCTGAATCTCGACATGTCGGCCTGGTAAGCACTGGAGTCATACTCGGAACTGGTTCCACTGTAAATGGAGCTCTGTCCTGGTCTTATCCCCTCGTTTAGATCATCCAACGACACATCTCCTTCTAGTGCTCGCACAATCTGTTAAATTTCAATAATATATTTTTACAAAATTATTACGTTTAAATGCTATTTTAGTCTACGTATTCTCGATTTGCTTTATTTTGGTCTTTTCCTATGGTTTATTTTTATCTTATAATCTTAGCCGGACACTTCACTCACGTAATTTTTATTTAAAATGTAGTTGTATTTTGTATCAAAGGGGTTCTATTAAAAAATATGTGTTAAAATTTAGTAAATAGAGATTAAATTAATCATTTTAAAAGTACTGATGTTAGTAGAAGAATTCAAATCAACAAAAGTTAAAAGTACAACGATTAGAAAGAACGTTTTGAAAGTATATAGACTACATGGTGGATGTGAAGGTTACTTACCTGGCTCATTTTGGGGCGTTTTCTGGCAGAATGACGAATGGCAGCGGCCGCACAAGCTACCATACGAGCCATTTCCTGAGTGTTGAACTCATTTTCTAACCGCATATCTACTAAATCATCGTAGATGCCTTCTCCCAATGCCCGATTCATTAGTGGTCGAGCCTGCATGTGTGTCACAAATATTATTTTGAAAACAATACTTAGGTTCTTACTCAGCGATGGGTTTTGAAAAATAAACAGAAATATATCTTCTGGCCCAAGTATTTTTCTTATGATTTTGTCATAATTAATTTAGATTTATGAAAGTTGGAATGAATTAATGAGTAGATATATAATTAATTGGATGGAAGGTGCACAAACCCAGTCAACTAAGCTATCCTCCATGGCATGAGTGGGATCGACAGGTCGTTTTCCGGTGATGAGTTCCAATAGCATTACCCCAAATGAAAACACATCAGATTTCTCTGTCAACTTCCCGCTTGATGCATATTCAGGCGCCAAATACCTGAAACCGACATGTCGAAATGTATTTTTATGATCTTCAACCAGATTTTGCATTACCATATTTTTTGTTTTTTGTTTTAAGAGATATTTGTTTGAGATTAGAATTGCTTACCCAAATGTACCCATGACTCTAGTGGACACATGGGTGTGATTATCAGAAGACAATTTAGCCAATCCAAAATCAGCCACCTGAAATCATCACGATTTAAATGTCACGTAATAATAATTAGTTTGAATTTTCTATATTGGTCAATATCTCGATCAGTAGTGTTACTTTCATAAACGTTAGGTGTATGTGTGCATAGACAAACATGCATTATGTATTAACCATATTGGATAATTTCTCCCTCAAGATATATATTTTTTCGTTATACACATACCATGGCTTCAAAGTTTGCGTCAATCAAAATGTTTGCTGACTTAATATCTCGATGAATGATCTTTGGATGACCTGAGAGGAAATGAATTTTAACATCATGCTAAAAGTAGTTGTTAGAATACTAATGATTGATTAATTATTTGTTTTACTTTTAAATTATTTTGACGTACTTAAAAAGTAATAAACTTTTAAACTATAGCCTAACAAAGGATTAAGATAGCATTTAAAATTACTTTTGTCATGACTAAAAACGTTCTCGAAACATATTGCATAATCAAATAATAATATAAAAGGAGGGCTTTTCTTACAGTCTTCGTGAAGGTAAGCAAGACCCTTTGCAGAACCTATACCAATGCGAAGTCTGGCTGGCCAATCCATCACTGGAAGACCTTTGCCTACAAAACCAATTCACAGAATACTTAATTAATCTATTCCATCCAAATAAAGATAATTAGTCTAGAAATGAAAAAACTATTATTTTTCTACATATTTCAATTTTGTATTAAAATTTTAAAAACATGTTAACAAACAAACATGAAATCCCATATGATTTAAATGGAATGCTAAGCAACAAACTAACACGAAATCCTATATGAATTTAAATTGAATGTTAAACCACCCCTTTAGTTTAGATCCTAATTTCAATTTAATACCTATGATTTTAAAAGTTTTAGTTTGGTTTGTATAATTATTTCGGTAAAATAGGAAGATTTTAACATGCAACTTCAAGAAAAGAAATGGATCATGTCATATATTCAACATGCTAATAAATTATGATACATGTATGTTGAGATATTCATATATGAACCAAATTTATCCAATCCATTAACTTAAGCGGTAGTTAATTCATCCTTGACGTGGTATTAGAGTTCAGAAAAGCTCAAATGAGCATTGAGTCAAAAAATGAGATCCGACCAAGATCGATTAGGTAAAAGAGTCACAATCTTGAGGGGCATGTGTTAAAAGATCCCCCATTGAAGAAAAAAAAAAGATCTTATAATAGACATAAATTACTGATCCTCTCATCCCCAATTGATTTTTAGATAGAATTCCATCTATTTCCTTCCTATTTTATAATAATTTTCTCATTAGATCCAACTCATCAACTTAAAACTTTTGGATAAATCAAAATCGAGGAGAACCGAATCGAAAATTGAAAATAAAAAAAAGGTACCATGAAGATGATGCTCCAAGGTGTTGTTAGGAACAAACTCGTAGACCAACATTCTCTGTCCACCGGCAATGCAAAAGCCAACCAGCGACACCAAATGCCGGTGGTGAACTCTGCTAATAATCTCAACCTCCGCCATGAACTCTCTCTCCCCCTGCCCACTGCCCACCTTCAGGCTCTTCACCGCCACCTCCTTCCCGTTCGGCAGCACCCCCTTGTGCACGTACCCGAACCCGCCCTGCCCGAGCAGGTTCCCATGCGCGAACCCGCCCGTGGCAGCTGCAAGCTCGTCGTATGTGAACGTGCTCTTGCTGAATGCAAATGCGATCGAGGGCGACGGTGGAGGAAGAGGAGGGCCGCCGGTGTAGTTGCCGCTCATCGTCATGTCGCCGCTCATCGGGGGCGGTGAAGGCCAGCCGCTGCCTGCTGAGCCCGACGGCGGCGGCCTGCCGAATTGGTCCGTGCCAGGACCGTGCATGCCGTTTTGCCAGTTTGTAGGTTGCTGTGAACTGTTGTAATAGTCACCACCTGCATGTTAATGTCATGACTCATGAAATTATAATAATTTTGCTTCTTTTTCTTTGGTTATGTTACGTAAGTTACATTAATATTTTGATAGTTGAGTTAAGTCCAGCTATATCAACAAATTGAACATCATTTCAATTCTTTTAAAAAATTTTAAAAATCAACACTTCTTGTAATAAAAGATTACAGTATGGAAGGGGTAGCTTGAAACTTTGAAAATAAAAAACATGTTTGGAATTTATCCGTGAAGACCAATCTTGTCTTTACCATTTGATAATTAGGTGAGAGAAATGTAAATAATAATGATGATGAGTTGTCAAATTTTCGATGCAGATAATATTTAGTTATCCATATGTTCTCTGTCTCTGATGAAAAACAAAATGATGCAAAAGAAATTTACCTTTAGGTCCATGACCATGATCATAATATTGCATGGGATCTCCCTTCCTCTTCTTCTTCTTGGAACACACTGCAACTATTGCTATTAGAAGAATTATGAATACTCCCACCCCGACCGCCACCCCAATTATAATTCCGGGATTGACGTCCAACGATGGTTCTGAGGTTCCATGTTTGTCTCCCGATGATCTTGAAGATGATTTTCCTTCTATGGGAGGTGACAAGGCTCCCGACTGAGGTGAAGAACGGGACGGAGAAGATTGATCGGGAACAAATGGTGACGATCTCGAGCTACCATCTTTTGAACTTGAGGGGGAATCGTTCTTGCCATTGCCGGAAGATCTATCAGAGCCACCGTCTGAAGAGCTACCATTTGAGTCGTTGCCAGAAGATCTATTAGAGCCGCCGTCTGAAGAGCCACCATTTGAAGAGCCGCGATTTGAAGAGTCGTTATTTGAAGAGCCACGATCTGAAGAACCGCCATTTGAAGAGCCACCATCTGATGAGCCACCATCCGATGATGATTTTGGTGGTTGGGAACCTATTTAGAATATATCGTTAACTTAGACTCTGTTTGATCCTATCCTGTGGTGACTACTATTGAATGTTTGATAACTAAGAGAAAAAATGTAAAAAAAACGAAATTTTTAAAAAAATTAATAAGTTGTCAAACATAGTGGCCAAAGTAGTTTATTACCGGAAAAGTCTCAAATATTTTCCTTTTCTATCTTTGCTTCCTCCCATTTTTTTTAAGTGTGTTTTTCGTATTTCTTTCAAAAATATAGAAACAAATTTTTAAAACTTGTTTGTTTTGTTTGTTTGTTTTTTTTAGTTTTCAAATTCCCTCTCATGGAATCTTTGAAATTGAGGAAAAAGTGTTTATGTTGATGAGATGTCAAATAGGAAAAATATTTCCATGTCTCCCGTGGTAAGCCAAAATTTTCTCGTGTTTATAACCTTACTTTTTCAAAATAAATGGATAATCATTTTGCTTAAAAAACATTTATGTTTTTTAAAATTATGTTGGGTTTATTTTGTATTATCCTTTCAAAATAGGTCTGAATTCTCATGTAAATTTAAAAAATAAAAACAAAATTTTAAATACTACATTTTTCTTTCCATTTAAAACAAAAACAAAAAATAAAATGATTATGAAATGAAAACAAAATAATTATCAAATATGCCCCAAAATTTTTGGTAACTCACCTAGATTTCTTTCAAATAGTTTTGAACTCTTATGCAAATTTTTTTAAAAAAAAACAAGTTTTCGAAAATTACATTTTTTATGGAGAGAATTATAAAAATGGGAATATGTAACTATATATAACATATAACATTCAATTAAAAAAATTATATATATATATATATATATATATAACAATTAGGTTTGAAATTTTAAAAAATATCATAAATTACAAAATTATATAATTATCACATGAGACGATTAAAACAAAATTTTGTGGCATATAAAAAAAGAACAAAAAGTAATAATATTTTTCTAAATATGTCAATTAATATGATTTTATTTTTTAATTTCAAAAAATAAAGAACTGTTAAAATTTTGGTAACTTACCAGAATCTGACGATGGGGCCGGTGAGGAGGAGGAGGAGGAGGAGGAGGAGTCATCATTTGTAGGTGGTGGCGGTGGCGAGTAATCAGAATTGGCATCGGGAGACGGCGGCGACGGTGACGACGAAGCCGACGAATCTGGCGGCGGAGCGTCGGTTGAAGATATTAGAGAGCCGTCGCGGAGAAATTGAGCACCCTCATAATTAGTATTATCAAATGTTTCACTCATCTCTCTCTTTCTCTCTTATAATTATCAAGCAGTGAAATTCCGGCCAAGATTTAACGGCGAAAAAATATATAGTCGCCGGGAATTTCACCAGCTTAATTTCCTGCAAAACCCTGAAAGATATTGGATAAACAAAAATGAATGAAAATAAAATGAAAATAAAAAATAAAATTAGTTACCTTTCTTTGAGAAGGGATGAAGAAAAATGAGTTTCAGAGTGAGAATCCCATAAGAGAAAGGAGAGGCTTTTGCGTTCTCCAATCCAAATGGTCTCCTACATACAAGGTGGTGGGATTAGGATTAATTAGGGTAATGTTTTTTTCCTAAGCCCAAGTTTAGTTGGAGTTTGTTATTAATATTAACCATTTACAGGGCGGAGTTTTTAATTTAATTATTTATTGGTTTGACCTCAAATTCTTCCCTTTCTTTTTGCCCTCTATTATTAACTAATTCCCTCTCCTCTTTTCCAGCTTCTCTTTACACTTTGCGCCAAACACAGCCTCTAAATCCCATCCACAAAATAGCCAATTTTGAATCATTTTTACTTCCCTTTTACTTCCCCGACACATCCCTTTTCATTTCAACATGCACCATTCACTTTCATTTCGGCCTAATTAACGCATTTTTCCTTAAGGGAGAACATATATATGCGGTGGTTATAGAAGAGTTTTTGATAGATAAAGGAGAAGATGATCATAAATATATAAATAAGTGGAAGATAAAATCTTCATTTTTTATCGCTAAGCTATGCTCACTTTTACGACAACATCTCAATTGTTACGGAATATTTTTAATGAAATCAAAGACATAAAACCACCAAAGTAGAGAATATATATCATACCATCGTGAAAATTTGTATTCTCGTATACCACTAAACCTTATAACAAATAAGGATATTTTTTTATAACGAGAAGCTCAACCTATATAAACTAAAGGATGTTAGTATAACTCGTATAATAGTGTCGTAGTTACAAAGAAAACCAAAATAAATATTGTTTCTAGAAAATATACTTCAATTCAGTAATAATCTATATCCTTTAAATAAAGTACATCGTGTTATATGCAGTAATAAAATTAACGGTAATAAAGTTAATAAAGTTGTAAATTAAAATGAAAATAATTTTTTTTAGTACAACATGTTGGGAAGGGAATTCGAACTCATATAACCTCTTGATTTGAGGTATATGCCAATTACCGTTTAGATATACTCGCTTTGACGTGACGAAGATAATTTATATGTGCATATACATACTTAAAAGGGAAATAATAAATTTAAATTACTTATATTCAATATGTTTTTGCAACAACATCATTACAATTTTACAACACATTGGGGAAATCTGCCCACACAATGAATCCAATGCAAGGATAAATTTCTCAATATACCACAGAGGATCTTATTACCCTCTTTACAACCATAACCATATGATGCTAAAGCAAGTGGTGATTGACACCTCCAATCATGAAGAGAGTTCGATCCTCCATAGAATAATAATGATCATAAATCAATCCCTAATCAAAGCTCATGTTTTCCAAAACTTCAGCAATAACATGATGATCCTCCGCCGGCATCTTCTCCACCGGACACACCCCCGCAAGGCTATTGATATAAGGCAGACACCGCCTGGAGTCGCCCCGACCCGTCGGGCCGCATCCGACGACCCGTTTCACCAGGCTTATTCCCTTCCCTTCCCCCACATCATACAAGACCACATTATTGGCCCCCACAAGAATCACCACCACACGGCCATCATTCACACAAGATAGAACTCTGATCATCATCACCTCCCCATCATCATCGCCATCAATAATCCTCAAATCCCCAAAATCAAGTGGAATTTGACGCTTCAAAACCATGTTAAGCCCCCCATAGACACCCAAATTATAACAGCCGTTCTCTTCCTTTTGTGGCATAATGTAGCACAACTCTCCATCCATCTCCACCAAAGCACCCTCCTCGCCATGCCCAGGAGGCAGCCGGATCTCCCCATGTTGTTCATACTTCAAATCGAACCCGAGAGCAATGCCGTTCGAAGCCTCCCAATACGCGAACCCGTCCACGCAAAACCCATCCCCTCTAAACGCCAATTCCTGATCGTCATCGTAGAAGTATTCGGAGTCAGCCACTCTCCAAGAGTTGGTCCTGGAGGAGTAGATCTCAAAGAAGACAGCTTTGAGAGAATCAGAGGGGACAGCACACACAATTTGGAAGTGGGATTGGAAGTTGTAAGTAGAGGGGCTGAAATGAAGAGCGATAGCAGAGGAGTCTGGGGAGTGGAATAACATGGGGTCGGGGAGTTTGGTCCATTCTTCGGTGGCGGGGTTGCATAGGAAGTAAGTGATGTCCGGGAAAATGGTTTGGCAGCAGAGGAGGCCGTGGGAGGTGGCGCGGATGGTGACGGGGACGGGTAGAAAGGAGAGTGAGGGGACCGGGACGCCGTTCGAGGGCGGGTGGAGGGGAATGAAGAAGGGGTAGTGATAGTGACGATCGTCGGAGAAGAAGAAGCCGGAGGTCTTGGTGAAGTGGGTGGATTGTTGGTGGGCGAGGAAGGGCGATGAGATCCAACGGTTCCAGGATTTGGAGACGGATTTGAATCTATAGAGAGATTTGGCGGGGAGGAAACGTAGGACATGGTTCTTGATCATCTCTTCCATCTCTAGCAAACTACATGATCATAACACAATGAAGTAGAAAAATTAAAATAAACAAAAGAACTAAAATGAAAGGTATCATTAATCAAAAGAGAATTAAAATCGAATGAAATTAGAAGCAAAAAATTATTAAATATGTTGAAATTTGTATTTTTATTATAAGATTCGAAATACATTTATAATTTCTCATTTTTGTTGTTCTAGTTTCTCCAATAATTTTTTCTAAGTATCACCTTAACAATGGAAAATTATAATTAGATGGCAGATGGTTTTTATACCTTCGTATGGATAAAGAGAAATTAAAAACCGTATTTTGTCTAATAATTAATAGATAGAGTGAATTGTATTGATTTTTTCTTTTTCAATAACTAATTTTAAGAAGGTTCAAAATATTTTAATTTCTCTCTCATACCTTGGATGGGGAAAAATTGTAGGCTGCATAACTCTCTAACTATATTACATAATTGTAAAATAAATAAATAAATAACTATACTAAATAATTTCTCCATCAAGATAGAGGCAAATGAATGCTTTATAGAGGCAAATGAATGCTTTTCTTGTCCTATATTTGATCAATTATAAGATTATTAAGCTTAGGGTTCAGTTGCATGATGATTTTTTTTTAATTTATAAAAAAATTAGTTTTATGTGAACCTTTTTTCTTTTTAGTTTCTTTTGATAGTTTAAAAGTCTCACCCCATTGTCAAACCGAGCATAACTCAACGATAATTGACATATACCTCCAATACACACTCGAATCCCTTCCCCCACATGTGTACTAAAAAAAAGTCTCACATCATTTAAAAAATAAAATTACAATTTTAATGGTTTACGCTTTTCAATGGTGGAAAGGAAATGATTTTAGATTCTAGAATTTTAAAATATGAAAATGTTTTTAAATTCTTTACTTTAAACATAGATGAGATTTTTTTTATATACAACCGGTGAAGGAATCGAACTCATGACGTCTTGATTAGAGATTATTGCTTAATTAAACTCATATTGGCCGCTTTGATTAAGATTAGTGCTTTAACGGTCAATATATCTTACTTATTTTCTCCTAGTCTCTTTTATAGCTTAAAGTTGTTCATTGTGGTATGAAATATAATAATTTTAAATATTACATGATTACAATTTCAAATCGAGCTTACTTTTCCTGACGAAAACGAGCAAATTCTACAAAATTTCAGAGAGTTTCAAAATAAGTTATTTAAAATTCTCATATCTTTAATTTGTAGCTAATAAATATAGATTAAAAGGTCTATATTTTCTTTTCCCAACAAAAAATAAAAAAATTAATTGTGTTTATTTCAAATCAGTTTTATTATTTTAGATGATGAGATAAAAAAATAAAATTATTTCTGGATCATTAAGATTAAAGTTGGAAACTTTGTTCATTTTGTTCCAAAAGAAAAAGGAAATACTAAATCTAAAACCAAAATTTGAAAACGGTTTCAGTTTCAACAGATAATGAACTTCAGTCCAATCAATCACTGTGAGACTAATTTTAACCTAATTAAAAAAAAAGGATTAACAATTAAGGCATCGAGTCAAGAACAGAAACGAAATCCAAACCTGACCAGAAAATCGCTCTGTTCCTTCTGCTCTGTTGACCAAACTGAACCGCCGGAGAATAAAATCAACGACGAGAGAATTCGAATCGCAGCGTCGACGGATACGTCCTAGTTTCCGAAATGATCGGCGATCAGGCGACGGAGATTGGAGCGAAAGAGCGAGGCGATTAATCGGAAATTGATGAAAGTAATAAGAAATATCGTCGCCTTCGCCTTCGCATGGTCGATTTCTCTGCGATTTCGTCAAAGTCTACGCGTAGTGTGACTTTTTCCTCGCGGGCGAACCTGCCAAGAAAACGGTGCTTGTCCGTGGACTTCTACTCAAATTTCCCACAAATCATCTTTAAATTTTAGACCATTCAATTTCATTTTTCAATAAACCTATCTTAATTACGAGTTTTAAAATATTTTCTTTTAATTCTTCTGCTCTCCGAACTCAAGTTATAAATTATTTTCTTTTAATTCTTCTGCTCTCCGAACTCAAGTTATAAATTATTTTATTACATGTGTTTTACTCCCTATTGTTTGAGGCGTTCTTTTTTCTTTATTTTTAATTTGATTCATATTGTGTTTGGGAAGTTTTAACTCGTTGGTTATGTTTTTTAACGGTTTTTAATTATACCATTTATGTCGATAAATATTAAAATTAGTGATGATGAGTGAGTTAACCAAATTTAAAAAAGGATAGGTATTCCACCTTGTACTCAGTATAATCTTCCACTCAACTTCAAAGCCACCATAATGGACATACGATCTCATTCTCACATGTTATACTGAAAAAACAAATAGGTTTCAAGTAAATTACTTGTCATACAATTGATTTTCTTGTCTTGCTAATTAGTTTTCTTTTTCTTTTATTTAAAGTAAGAGATCGGTAGTTTAATAAATTTAAAATTTTTTCATGAATGCATTTTGTATTTCTTTTTGTAAGTTCCCTTTAGTTCTTGTGATTTAGTATTATATTTGTTTACTTTAATGGAGGTGTTTTCTTCCCTGAGGAGACTTTGCTTTTTCGGAAAAAAAATGAGGTAGGAGGTTGCGGCATAAAAAGAGAGAAAAAAAAAGTGGACAAATGATCAGGGAAATTTGTTTCAGAATTTAAGTTCTTTTTAGTTATAATAAACATATTTGTTTTAGTTTAGATTTGAAATAATTTGTTTTTTTTTAATATTTTTGAATGGATATCTTTCCAAATTTTTTTATTTACTTTGCAAATTTTAATCTATTAAGTTTATTTGATTTAAATAAATGATTTTATTCTTACATGTATTTGGCATTACTATTTGTTAAAAATATTATATTATTATTAATATAATATCATGTTAAATTACAAGGAAATAATAATAAAATATTATACTTTCTTTTCATTTCCATAAACATCAAATTTTAATGATCAAAATTTATTTCATTCAAAACACAATTAATTGAATATGTTCAAGTTGGAAAGTCAAATATTTGTTTTTTTTTCCCTAGATACATGTAACTCAACAGGCGGAGCTATAGTCTCATCGGCGAAAGTCAAATATTTGTTGCATAGAGACTAAAATAGAATTCAATGCTAAATGAGATCTAAATGATTTTTAACCTATATGATAAAAATGTTAAATTACAAGTTTAGTTCATGAACTTTCAAATTCGTTGTCTATAATATATTCCTTAACGTAAAAAGTGTCTAATAAGTTCTTAAACTTTCAATTTTGTGCCTCATAGGTCCATAAATTTTAAAAGTATGTAATAGATCTCAAACTTTTAATTTTGTACTTAATAAATCTATCGGCCATTCAACATTTTTTTTAAAATACCGGATTTATTAAGCATAAAATTCAATTTCCTGTCCAATAGAATTATAAACTTTCAAATTTGTGTTTAATAAATCTGTAAATTAAAAAAAAATCTCTAATAAGTCAATCACATATCATATACAAAATTTGAAATTAAAAAATTTATTAGACATAAAGTTGAAAATTTTTAAAATTAAACATATAATATAAATTTAAAAGTTGGAAGAATAAACTTTATTCCAAATAAAAATATTAGAAAGGAAAAAAAAATTAAAACACCGAAATTCTATTTCTTTGGTTGTGGAAAATATAATAAAGGAAGTAGGAAAATCCGGAGACCTTGAAAGTCGCCTAAGAGCGGAGCAGACAACAAACCTGTGGATGCGATTATATGTTCTTCTTTGAGGATCAAACCAAAACCTCCGTACTCACTTTTCCAAGTTTTTTACCTCACAATTAACGGTGTGAGTAAATAGTAAAAAGTTAAAATTAGGATTGAAGCAATTTATTAATTTCATTAGAAAAAGATAAATGTTTCAGTCAAGCCCATTTCACTTTTTACTCTTTTATCCCACGTTAATTTTTATATTGGAAACATTAAATATTCGAATCTCCATGTGATAAGATGTTGAATTAAGAAAAAGTTGAAGGGTAAAAAACCATTTAGTACAATATATTTCATATTTATATTCCAAAGATAAAATTTAAGACGCTGTTTGATAATTATTTCGTTTTTAATTTGTAGTACTTGAAATTATGTTTATTCATAATTTCTTTAATTAATATGTTTTTACTTTCTTTACCCATTTGAATTCCTAGCTATATTTTGAAATTAAAAACAAGTTTTAAAATTTTTTTCTTTTCAAAATTTGGTTTAGCAAATAGATATTAAAACAAAGAAATACAGAGGAAAAAATAATATTTACCAACTTAATTTTCAAAAATCGAAAATATAAGATAGAAATAATTATCGAACATAACTTTTAAGTTATTTTCTTTAAGCATTACAATTCAAACGCCTCCAACTTTCATATGTGTTATTATTAATAACGTGCAATTACAGTATATCTTAATAAGTTGAGCTATATTAAGGTCAAGTTTAAATTATCTCTCGATCGTGATTTTGCTTTACAAACAATATCAAAGTATATTTGGTATACAAACACCGGACATTATTTTTTGTTGGGTGGATAGTAAGAATTTTATGCTGTCCACCATTAAGTTTTTAACCAGTAGCAGAGGGACGAGAGAGCAAGAAGATGACTTTTTTTTTTAAACTTTATTCAAGAAATAAACACATGTAAAAAATTTAATGGTGGATAGTAGGAGACGAGTTAGTAGGAAAGTCTATTAGGACAATAGACCTCTTGTACTTCTAAATGATATTACGTAATTTCACATATAAGACCTTATAACATCGAACATGGATATTCCTGAGTTCCAACGGGCGCGGGACTACGTTATTTTTCCATGCAAATGCTCCTTCCAAAATATATGATGTAGATGCTTCATACGAATATACATGGGATATAAACAAGTGCTGTAAATATAATATATGATGTTGATGCTTCATACGATGGAGGAGAGACATTTGAGTGTAAACAAGGCAAAAGATTTGGTGAAACCGTGAAGGACTCGTAGAAAAAGGGACAAAAGAGAAGATATGGAAAAAAAGAATGGTCAAAAAGTGAAAAGACGACACAAATTGCAAGCAAAAATGATGATTTTGTTTCATTGGATCCCCACTTTAGATTATGAGAAGAGCTTCTTTGGATTGACTTTTTTGAAAATAAATGTCTTTTCATGCACCTCTGATACAATATTAGAATTGGAAAAAATTGCCTATTTGCTAGTAAAAAGCACCACCTACAAAGCTACTAGTGAGTAGCAAACTTTTCTTTTTTCTTTGCTAATTGTTTGTTTACAATTAGTTTTCTTAGATTATGGTTCTTTAACATTGTGTTTTTCAAACTTTTTTGCCCCAACCGAACTTGGTTTCAATTTTGTCATTTATATTTTAGGTTTTGATCTACTAACCACCGTACAAAATTTGACCACTAAGAGAGATGAATGTATAAATAACATAAGAGAGATATATTTAAAAAAAAAAAACTATCCATTTCTTAATTGTGATGAGTAGGAAGATACAACTAACCCGTTAGCACCTAATTACTATTTGGAAAATACTTGATTTCTTATTAGCAAAGACCAAATTTTGTTCTTATTGACTGAGTTTGTATGGTGAGTGCAAACAAAGTAACAAAGTCTCACATTGACTAGGAAATGAGGTGATCATAGGTATATAAGATAGGGGACAATTATCTCCACTCGTATGAAGCATTTTGGGTAAAATAAAAAATAAAGTCGTGAGGGTTATGTCCAAAACGAATAATATCATATTAGGGGTACTGTTATCATTGACATTTACCACCATTGAAAAATTGACATTTAGTTAGTTTCAAACTTGTCCCTTTATGTTTTGAAATTTTCAATTTCACCTCAATCTTTTAATCCCCTTACATTTTGAATTAGACAATTTATAGGGGAGGAGTTTTGTTTAAATAAATTGAAAATTTGGGAGATCAACTTTTAAAAAGGTTGGAGATAAAATAGAAACTAACAAACAAGGGTAGCTCAGTTAAATTATAAAATTGGTCTTAATTGTTTGAGCACGTCTTTATAGATTTAAATTAATCCATATTTTCTATAAGTACAACAATATGTGAGGTGGAGATTCGAACCTGATATCTTTTGGTCGAAATATATGTTTTGACTAGTTGAGCTATGTTCAGGTTAGCTAAATCCAATTGTATATGATTAAGTAAAATTAATCCTTCCGATCTTATTTATTACCATATTAAATACACAACAGATATTATTTACGTGACAATGAGTCAATATTTACGATAAAATATATGAGTTGTTGAGTAAGTAAAAGATAGTTTAGACACAAATTGTGAAGTTTAATGAAATCAAACTACAATGGACTCTTGAGATCATAAAGACCAAATTGGAACTAAACTCAACTCAACAAAGTTTATAATTTAATCTTAAATTAAAAAGTTTATATGCAGCATAAAATAAGATAATTTGTCGGAGTAAGATACTTATGTTTAATCGAAAGGTTGTGGGTTCAAATCCTCGCTCCAACGTACTGTACTTGAAAAAAATTGCAATTTTACCAAAATAACATAATTTTAATAGAATATTTTTCATATATATATATATATATATATATATATTCAGCTGATGAACAACACAAAAGAGGACAAAGTGGGGAGCGAAAGAGTAGGAGATAATGGGAAACCAGTTCAAATTCAGAATCCCTTCCTTCCAATTCCAATGCTGCCGCTCCAACGACATTTCCGTCGTCCCCACTGACCCACCGCCGTCAAAACCCCACCACTCCTCCCTCAGGCGCCACGTGTCCTCCGCCTTCAGAACCGCCGCGTGCGGCTGCAGATCAACGTCCACCAACTCCGACGAAGACCAAATTACCAAATCATCCCCGAGACTCCCTCCGCACGTGCCAGCCACGCCCCTCCCTGGACGGCACGACGACGTTTCGGCTCCGCCGAAGCATCGACGGCGCAAGAAGAAGAAATCAACGCCGCTAAGACTCCGATTCAGCACCTCGTCGGCGGAGAGCGGACTATTCAGCAGTGAATCGTTCGACGAACTGGACGAATTAGAAGAAACCGAAACCCTAATTTCTTCATCCAAAACCATCTCCACCACCGACGACGACTCATCCTCGGAATTCAACACTCAATTGGAAACCATACGCGAGAATCCGTACAAAATCAAGGCCAACAAGAAGAAACAGAGGAAGAAACGACGTCGTGGCGGGAAGCAGCAGAGGAAGACGAAGACGAAGGAATCGCCGTCGCCATCGCCATCGCCGGAAATTGAGTCACCGGCGAGGCTGTCGGTGTTCCAGAGGCTGATTCCGTGCACGGTGGAGGGGAAGGTTAGAGAAAGCTTCGCGGTGGTGAAGAAATCGGAAGATCCGTTCGAAGATTTCAAGAGATCGATGATGGAGATGATAATGGAGAAGGAGATGTTCGATGAGAAGGATTTGGAGCAGCTTCTTCACTGCCTGCTGTCGCTGAACGACAGGGAACACCATGGGATCATCGTCGAAGCTTTCTCTGAGATTTGGCAGTCGCTGTTCTGTAGAAGATCGACGAGTCGTTCAAGCTTCTGACAAAACTACAAAAGCCAAATTCTACATGTCGCACTCGCATTCGCACCCTCTTTTTTTCCACGTAAAATCAGAACCTTCTCATCAGCTCTCAAGGTCTTCTTAATTAGTGGTTCGGATTCTTCGATCTTAAAGAAATGAGTAGATATTTTAACCTTGCTGTTGATCATGTCGGTAAATTTTAATATTTTCAAGAGTAAAACTCAGAAGTACTATCCTTCTTCTCTAAAAGAAATTTGTGCGGTATAATTTTCTTTTTGTTGAGTCACGAAGGTTTAGAATTTTGACATAATCACTTAAATGCATAAACATATATAAATTTATTCTTGTCTAAACGAATTGCATTCCCTTCAGTACATTGTAAATATTCAAAGTTAAAGTATTTTAAATCTAATGTGCATCTAGCAATGTTGTACCATAGACGAATATGGTGTTATTTAAGATTTATATTGTAAATACTACCTAACAAGTATATAAAGATGGTATGGCATGTGGCCAAATATTCCTATTGAATGACTTAGTGTAAGTTGTAGGGATATAATTTATTTGAGAATAACATTTTTTTTTTGGTTAAATATGAATAGAGAGACATTCGAGTGTAAAGCACACCAATTTGGTGAAAAAAAAACCATTTTGAAAAGGACAAAATGAAAAAAATAAAATAAAAGAAAAAGGTCAAAAGTTGAAAGACAAATTGCATGAAAAAATGATGATTTTGTTTCCTTGGATCCCCACATTGCATCATGAAACCTTCTTTACGTTTGTTGCAATTGGGTGGTTGCTTTGTCTCTAAAATTTATTTTATTTCCATTATTGAGATTTTATAATATTTTATTTTTATAACTAAAATTTTAAAATATTTATTTGAATCTTTATAATTTTTTAAAAATAATTGTTCATTAAATTATGCTGATCTTGCCTTTTTAATCCTCAACTGATGATTTTGAAGTCTTCCACCCCTTAATTGAGTGTTCCGTAGGATTTCCAAAAAATTCGAGTTTAGGGGTAAAGTAAACTTTAGCAACAGTAAGAATTACTACTTACGTCAGCACTTGACTAACTTATAAGAACCTCCTCCTCCAACAAGAAGAATCTGACTTAAACAAGTTTAAGATAAAAAAAAAATGAACCAATAAAAAACTCTTGCTGACAACGAATAAAGATATCTTAAATCATGATTTTTTTTCCTCGAAAGGATCTTAATCTAGAAGGGTAAAACAAATGAACTAAACCAACCAGTCGAATCAAATCGAATTCTTCAATTAATTTTTTTAGCTAATTCGTTCTTACCAAACCGAATAATAATAAGTGATTTGTCGATGGTCCAACATACTTTGGATTAAACCAAATTAAACCGAATCGAACCAATGAAATAATATGGTTGATTATTTAAATAAAATTTAATTATTTCAATAGTATCATTTATCCAGAAATTATACTTAATTATATAAAAAAGAAACCCTTTAGGCTAGTGGCGTTCTTGAAATTACCTCAAAAGTTTCAATAAAACCTAACCTACTACTTGGCATCTTCATTCATCTGAAGCCGCCCGCCCGATCTCACTGTTTCTGCTCTATCTCGCCGGCGGCGGTAATTTGCACTCTGTCGGCCATCTCTCCGGTGAGTTTGCTTTATTTTCCCCCGTGTTTTCCCCTTCAGTTTTTGTTATTTTTTTTTCCTTCCAGATTTTTGTTCGTCTCTTTTATGATAGTTCAGTATAAGTATTGATATTCTAGCAAATCTTGATTCACAGAGATTCGACAATGGCGACTGGAACAGCGCAGCGTCAACTCTCGCAGAAGGAGGCTGACATTCAGATGATGTTAGCCGCCGAGGTTCATCTAGGAACCAAAAATTGCAATTTCCAAATGGAACGATACGTTTTCAAGCGCCGGAACGATGGTATGTTGCGGATATACTTCATTCACAGTCGTTCGAATTAGTACAGGACTTCCTATAGATTGATTAGTTCAAATTCGTTATTCCTTTTTCTCTCTGTTATTGGCGGTGGTTTCGCTTGGACTGAAACGTTAAGTGCTATGATTCTCTCTAGACCAGAATGTGATCATAACTTCATCAATAATCATGAATGATTCTTTTTAATTCTCTGTATGTAGGAATATACATTATTAACCTTGGTAAAACATGGGATAAACTTCAGATGGCTGCCAGAGTTATTGTGGCAATTGAGAATCCTCAGGACATTATTGTTCAGTCTGCCAGGCCTTATGGTCAGAGAGCTGTTTTGAAGTTTGCACAATACACTGGTGCTCATGCTATAGCTGGGAGGCACACCCCTGGAACGTTCACCAACCAGCTTCAGACCTCATTCAATGAGCCACGTCTTTTGATACTTACTGATCCTAGAACTGACCATCAGGTGGTTAAACATTTTTAAAAGTCGATAATAGTCTGCAGGGTTATAAGTTTATCTTCAAGAGGGCAGTATTCTGTTGCCAGTTATAGATTTAGTCTTGTATGTTCTCTTAGTTTTAGTTATAGCTGACTTCACTTATTGCTGCTATTTATGTTGCTTGGTTGGTTTCTTGCTTTTTGCAGCCCATCAAGGAAGGTGCTCTTGGAAACATTCCTACAATTGCTTTTTGCGACACTGATTCGCCAATGCGGTATGTTGATATTGGGATTCCCGCTAATAACAAAGGGAAACATAGCATAGGATGTCTATTCTGGCTTTTGGCGAGGATGGTTTTGCAGATGCGTGGAACAATCCGTGCTGGGCACAAATGGGATGTGATGGTAACTTCAGAATTTTATTTAATATCTGAACTTGAGAAACCTGAAATTTGAAATGAACAGTTGATTGTTTGAACTTAAAATCAAAGGCTTGGACTGAATGAATGAATGCACGTGTGTGTTGTGTAGGTTGATTTGTTTTTCTATCGGGAGCCTGAGGAGGCTAAGGAGGAAGAAGAAGAGGCTGTTGCACCCCCTGATTATGGTATTGCAGATTTTGGTGCTGCTCCGCTTGCTGTAGATCAATGGGCTCCTGATGCTCAATGGGGTGCCTCTGATGTGGTTCCAGCTGCTGCTGCTGCTCCAGCTTCTAATGTTGAATGGGCCCAAGAGCCAGGTTGAATCCAAGCCTTTTCTTTTATGATTTATTTGAATGTTTATGTGCCTATTGGTGTGTTTTTCCACCCCAAACTCCTCCGGAGGGGCAGTCCAGTTTACAAGGACTTGGAGTCTCTTAGTCATACTGGCTTAGAGGTCTGAAGTTCGAATTGTCCAATGAGTTTAATACCAAAAATCCTTGATGTCTCTCGGCTCCGGATCTTGGGGTGGGCACGGATGCCTTTGAATATAAGGGAGCAAACTCCTGACTCCCTGTTATAAAAAAAAAAAAAGTAGTACCTCTTACTTCCAATGACCTTGTAGTCTGCCATTGCATAATTTTT